GTAAGGATTGGAGACGAGCCATAATTGATGTCCACCGGCCCTGCTCTTCTCATTGCCAACGGATTGGAAGTATTTTGGAGCCTGGACTCGTTCAGACAGTCATCACTGCTGAAGAGACCTTTCAAGGCGGACGGTGTTGTATCGGCCGTCGAGGCAAGCAAGTCTGTACAGGAAGAGCCTTTCGAGCAGCAAAACGACGCAACCTCGTCACCACCTGCCCCAACCTCTCTGGCCTCCTTTTTCACGTCATACAAAGCAACCCCATCTTGCTCTCTTGGCCTTACTTGCTGGGAGGTCATTGGCTTAGACATAATGGCCATCATCATTCGCATTGGAACCGCTGCATCTGTAGACGTGGCCGTAATCGCAGTTTCTGACGCCATATTCATCGTGAGGTAGGGCTGTGTCGTCATGGCCAAACCTGCATTGCCAGATATGCCGAGGAAGGAAATAGGGGCATTTTGATGCATAACCTGTTGTTGCTGTCCTTGCTGGTGTTGATGTTGCGTCTGCTGTTGGTAACCTTGAGTGGTTTCGGGTACAAGGTGCTCCATGCGAGCCTGTGATGCATAACCGCATGGTTCCATATGCACTGAAGCCTCACAGGCAGACGAGCGAAGCTGGGCAGAAGGAGGTGATAGTGTTGGTTGGTGCTGTTGAAGCAACCATTTGGCTCGCGTTTCGGTCGGCCTCAGCTCGTGTCCATTCAAGGGGTGCAAGAGTCCGTCGGGTCTGTGTAGACAGACAGCTTCTGCTGCTGCTGCCACCATCGGAGACGAATTCAACGGTGGCTGGGCGTTGCAGACAGAGCCCACCAGACATCTTGGCTCTGGGGCCAGGCTTGGAGGTGAGGAGGGGGGCAGAAGGGGCGGCGAAGGAGGCAATTCTGGCATTTGATGCATCTGATCCGAGACACGTGGTGGCTGGCTCGTGTAGGCGGTATGCAGACCTCGGAACGAGGATCCGGTGAGGGAGTGGGAAAATAGTGCGAATCCGAGTGTCGGCTTGGGTGGAGGTGGGCAGAATGGGCCGCTAGGATGGGGTGTGTTGCGGAGAGCGTAAGTTTGCCCGGTCACCTGAAGATGCGGTGCCATCAGAGAAGAGGGTACAGGCGGAATAAGGGTTGATGAGGGGAGAATGTTGGGCTGAAGACTGGAGGGGTGTAGGACTGACTGTCCAGGCAGTACCAGCAACGACTGTTGCAGATGAGAGGAAGACGACAACAGGGGTGGTGGTGAGCAAGCTGGTGCATCGGACCGACCTGACAGCCCAACAGTGACCGCAATCAGCCCATATGTGCCTCTGTTCACACTCCCACCAATCTCGGACAGCACAGCCGATTGCCCATGCTCAGAGTGTCGAGATGACGCCAGATCATCGGTGTACAGACTCGAACAGACTGCAGGCTCCACTGATGCTGGTGGTACTTGTGGCATCGCTGGTAGACATGACCTCGGTGACTGCAGTGGCAACGACAAAAGTAAGCTGCTATTGCTGTTGTTATTGCGCCCACTGTTTGGACACACCAAACTGATGCCGCGCTCAGTCTTCTTTTTGCGCGCCCGAGCATTCTGAAACCATACCTGGAACGGATATGGTCGGAAGGGAACGATATAGTCGGCAGAAAAAGATGGAGTTACACTGATAACTGATGAGAAAAATGAACTTTAGGATATATTGTACTATTACGTCTCATGCTACCACTGTTATCGCTAATTAGTATACTGGTAATATGAGTTGTATTCATCCAATTTCGTTTAAGGTGATGAAGGACTGGTAGAAGAAGAATGTCCCCACAATCATATGAGTTGAGCTGACGCTTCCATTTAATTTCACATAGCCTTGCTTTCCCTCAGCGGAAGTCGAACCGCGACAGTGCAGGATGGGAGCTTGACACTGCCATGAGCGCCTTTTGGGTCACAGGGAAAATGTGAATTTTCAAGGAAGGCCAGGCCTTTGTGCCATATCATATTCATTTGGTGGAATTGTCAATGAAGCAAACGTATATCTGCTATAACAATCAAATACCATACTTTATTTTTCGAATAAAGTATTGTTTTCGTGACTACCAGTAAATCAGTAATACGAGATGTATTCACCCAATTTCGTCTAAGGCTATGTGAAATTCAATGAAAGCATCATCTCAACTCATATCATTATGGGAAAATTCTTCTTCTACCAGTCCTTCATCACCTTAAAAGAAATATGATGAATACCCAATCATATTACTGATTTACTGGTAGTCACGAAAACAATAATTAATTCGAAAAATAGTATACTGGTGTTTTCGAAGAGCGCAGATGATACTCCGCCAAGGACAAGCCAAGAACCCAGCATCAGATCTTTGACTTGGTAGATGCTTAGACGTTTTTTTTGCCATAGAATTCATGAGACGTGTAGAAATGTAATAAATCGATGGCCAGATGCTGGAAATAACTGTGTAAGATGAGTTAAAACGAGGTGCACCCATCGAGATCTCACTGACGCAAACACACACATTCATACACACTCAACTATATGTACTCTGATTATTATGAAATAGAACCTAGCAAATCATTTTAGCTCTACATTTATCTAAATATTTCCGTTTTTAAGCATGAGTAAGATAGCGTTTAGGATAGAGCCGGAGAGTCTTCTTGACTTTGTGTTAAATTGTAACTTGTACAAGAATGAGTTCCAGCTTTGATCATGTCCGATATTTCAGAGGAAAGCTCATTCCGGCTTTACCTGGTTTGAGGTAAGGGCTCTCGTGGACTGCGTCAACCTTAGCGTTGTATTAAAGTCAGACAGCTGCAGAATAATGGGAATCAGCCATCGATTTATGGTGATATCGACCTACAAATCTCTTCATCATGCAATTTCATACGAAATTGAAGTCTCTACAAAAAGTGTATTTCAAGAGATTCCTTTAAACCTCATTACACTTGCTCTATTCCGATGAACACTAGTTGGGCTTGTCTGACATACTGCTTGACAGATAGTGTAGAAGCTGTATCCAATTCTTATGAAAATTTCAATTATTACTAATTTTTTTAAATAACTGGCTCTATATTAAGTAAAACTGGATTTCGAAGAATTCCTTAGTAGATTAATGGTGGCATGCCTTTCATTTCGTCAGAGAAGATGGGTGGAGGAGAATTATAAATTGGCCTTACTCGATACCCAATGATGATTGCTTTGGGCTCGTGACTGTTGGATTGTGAAAGGAGACCTTAGCTTACTGTTTTGCGACCCCTCTGTGACAGACATCTTAAGAGCCAGAAACCATTATTTACTAACAATCACCAAATAAAACATTAAACCAGCCATAAAACTTTCTTGGTTTGGTGTTTTTTGGTGAGTGTTTGTAAATACTGGTTTCTGGCTCTTCGTTACAAGATGAACGAAAGCACAGCATGCAGTCATGTAGATAACATAATTTAACAGTCAAAAGTCAAAGGCAACCCTTCTTCGGTATCCAGTGAACAGTTGTGGTATCTCCCCTTCTGCCCTGGTCCATTCACATTTCCTATCTCCTCCTATCACACCTTCACTGTCACCATTTTTTTACTTGCTTAATTAAATGTGGTACGGTTTGCCCCTTTGAGCGGCTTTCATGCGAATTCTCCGCACCCCACGCTGGCCTTCTCACCCCCCTTCATCCTTGTGCTGGGAATGTTGATCAGAGTCTGCCATATTGTTACGCAGTCCTCCTTCCATAAGTCTTATCGCAGTCTCTCTCTTTTCCCGTAAGGTCTGTCTGCCCTCTCCCTGGTTCACATATTTC